TTATAAAATAATTGGGTTTGAAGGCACTGAACAAGAAAAGGCAGCAGTTGAAAAGTTTGAGAAGAAAAAAAGAAATAAATTAACAGAGCCTTTTTCAGGAAATTTCTGAGGATCTCCCTGAAGATTTGAAGTAGCTTGATTGTCTTCAGCTAAAGAACTTTTTCTTACTCTAAAGGTAGATTTAATTGAAGAACTAATTATCATAAGTGCATTTAGAGAATGTAAGGATGGCCACTTTCCTTATGCATATAGAGGAAAGAAAGAAAAATTTAAAAAAAACCTTTGCTTATTTTCCTCAAACAAAATGTGAAATTTATATGTAATTGATAATTGAATAAAAACAAACCATCCTGACTTTGATATCTTTATTGATGATTCTGCAAAAATTATTTCTGAGTGTCAAGAAAAGTTTGTTAAGCATGAAAAGAAAAAAATTTTGTTCTTCCTGGCTACAAAACCACTAGAAATATTCGAGGCTCTAATGTTTATCATCTTACTACTTCTGTTTCTGATTTAAAAGATAAAGACTTTACAAAAGCAGCCAAGGAAAAGACTATGACAGACAAAAATAAACGAATTGATGCTAATTTACTATGATCTGGACTTATAGCTTTAGTGTTATGTGGTCTAGGTCTTTTTTATGTATTATTGAAAAGGAAGAAAAAGAGGAGATAATTTCAATCATGGTTGGATTTATTTTCCTTTATTACATTTCTTCAAGTTTTCGTTTTTTTCTTGGTTCATCATAAGTTGGGGTTAAGGTTTGTTTATGGTTTATTATTTTTCGTTCTTGGTAAATTTCATAAGTGATTTTTTCTTGATCTAGATATTTCTGGAAAAGTTTGGTATCATTGATTTTAAAAACATAAGGGGCAATTTTTTCTCCTTGTTCTTTTTTCAGAATGCTTCTAATAGTGCTGTAATTCTTTGGTTCCATAGTGGATTTAATGTAAATTAGTTTCATATTAACATTTTTTATGTAGAGATAATCCTATATTCATCATGTTATGGTTTTTATTCATCACATTCTGATATGATAAAGTGATCATTAAAATTAACAAGTCCATAAGCTATTAAGGAGCACCATTATTACTTTTCAAACTGCCATTAGTCACACTGATCAATTTTACAGCCACATCATAATCAGCCTCTCATTTATAAAATGTTCACTTTGTTTGGTTTTGTTGCAGCATACCCCATATATAAGCATTAGTATTAGGGTGTAGCATATTTTTCATCAGTGGAATTATCCCAAACATAGCATTGTCTACATATTAAGCATTTCTGCAGATAGTAATAGTAGCTAAGCATATGCAGTATTACACTTATACCATCATGCTCTTGCCAAATTCATTTTCCACCAGAAGATTCTGCTTCATCACATTCCACAAATCACTTTTTATTGGTGCATTTTCTAGCCTTCATTACTTGGTTGGAGATGAAGTTGTTGCATGATTAGCTCAATCTCTGTTTGTTAAGTCTATCTCCTTTTCTTGTCTGTGCTGCTTGTTCCTCTTTGTATTCAGAAATCACATCAGCATACTGCAAACAGTAAATGTTGTCAAAGTTCACAGAAATATTTATTTTTGTTACCTGCATTGTCACAAAATCATATTGCCTTAAATTTAAACTCTTAAATTTCATGAAACACAGTGCTCCAAGCATTCCATTAGAACCTTTTCTATAATGCCATTGAGAGCATGCTGATTTGCTTGCATTTAATACCAAGCAAACACAATTTACACCAGCTTAACCAGCATCCTTGTTCAGCTGCTTTCTGATACAATTCAACTGCTTTTTGAATATCTTCTTCTACTGTCCCATTTCATATAAACATCATACTATTTATTTCCTGTTTATATTTATCAGAATGCAGGCAGTCTGTGCTAGCCATTTGGATTCGATGTGCCACAGAATCTGAGATGTTCATACAACTGAGCAGGGAATATGTCATGTTTAGGCCTCGATCCTGACACTGTAAACAGTAAATGTTGTCAAAGTTCATGAAAATATTTATTTCTATTACCTGCATTGTCACAAAATTATATTGCCTTAATTTAAACTCTTAAATTTCATGAAACACAGTGCTCCAAGCATTCCATTAGGACTGACCTTTTCTATAATGCAATTGAGAGCATGCTAAATTGCTTGCATTTTGATACCAAGCAAATACAATTTACACCAGCTTAACCAGCATCCTTGTTCAGCTGCTTTCTGATACAATTCAACTGCTTTTTGAATATCTTCTTCTACTGTCCCATTTCATATAAATATACTATTTATTTCCTGTTATCAGAATGCAGGCAGTCTGTGCTAACATTACAACAATCCACCAGACTTATATTTTTGCTGTTAGTCATATGTTTGATTTTGTACTGTTTAACAATCCATAATTCCTCTGTGAGTATTGTGATGGGAAACCATACTGAAAGTGTTCTATCCTTTGATTCATGTTGTAACTTGTGCCATAACTCGAAATATGCCGAGTTGGCCTCCCATTCATATTCGGTGTTGCATAATTTGGTTAGAATTCCCCGAATTGAGCAATACATCCATTTTCTCTCTTGTACACAAGCATCGTTGCTATTAATATTAAATCATATATATTTCGATACAGCCCACACGTTTGACATGTCTTCTGATAAAGATGTACTGAGACTGTAACAGTCTATTATGATAAGTTTATGTCATGGACATCGTTTACGTAATTGACAAATTTTTAAAAAACCTGCATGTGACTTCAAGGTTTTGATAGGCTGATCAACTCAGGAGAAAATTTCGTGTAATACAGGGAGGCACGTTGAGCGAACAATTGGCGTGGCAGAGGATCTTCGAGCTCAACCTTAGTACGTGCAGGCAAATACTATATACATTAAGAGTGTTATATAAAAACGTAGCTACGCTAAAACGGTTATTGAAATTATGTTCCCAGTTTAAAGATTGATTCCATGTTAGTGACTTTGAATTATTATTAAGCCTTGATATGATGGTAGAAAATCTTACCTGCGCGCGAACGTTTGCATATTAAGATCACATCCGCAGGTACAAGAACGCAGAGATTTAATTAGATTTCAAATAATCGTCTCAGGCCCGAGTTAGTTCGGGAAAACCTACTTGCTGCACGGCATGCTAATTGAAAATTTTGTAAGATTATATATAGACATATCAAATAATGCAATGAGCCTAAGCTGTATCATGAAGCAATACGTTCGAGCGATAAAGAGAGACAGGGCTCGTTTTCGAAGATCGCGTAAGAAAATTATTGGCAATTTACATTGATCGAGTATATGTATATCCCATCCTGAGAACATCGGGTTTTGTTTGATTTGTTTTCTACTCCCCCCTGTACCAATACAACCTGCTAGTGAATCCAACAGCAAGTCGACGGGTGCAGTGAAAAAAAATAGACCCAAAACAAGCAAATGGTACGAACTTAAATGTCACAAACACAACCGTTTATAGACATCCTGAATTCGGGATAAAGTTCCATTTTCTAAATGGGGGCTTGTACCTTGTATAAGAGGTTTTAAGACTATTCCCAATTGTCTAACAATATTTGATATATTTTATTTTTTCGATTATTTTGCCCCGTGTAGATAGATTATTAATGGTGTTCTTTTTCAAATCCGGGATACATGGTAAATGTTAGTCATAATAATTCTTTTACAATCACCTTTTTCGTTATCGTACTACTATTTTATAGGTTGCCCGTATTATAAAAAATTTTAATTACTTCCTGGATCAAGGGGACGAAAGCAATAAACCGTCGATTGCTTATCTCGGCTAAATAACTCCAAAAGAAACCCTCCTATAGATAGAATACTATATATATAATGTGAACACGAAGATCGGCAGAACAATAACGCCCTGAATTTATTTATTAGGGACTCACTACGACACATGAAGACTTTTATATTCTAAAGTCGAACATTACTTGCAAACCTCGGTCAATTTTCTGTTCCCATATTAATATGAGTTTAATCAGCACGAGATACTATATTAATAAAGCGCGTGGCTTCACTAACAAACAAATTAATCGCGCACCCTTTGTCTTTAAACGCATTAAATGAGTGTTTTGAATGGCTGTTTTAATAGAAAAATCGAGTCGCGCGACTTTTGAAAACGAGTCATTACAATTGTACAACTTGCAATTATATAACCAATCAAGGTTTATTTAAAGGCGCGTAGTTCTTCATCTCATTGCGAACTTTGGCCACAACAATATCCAAGGATGGAGAACCCATATCATACACGAGAGTGGGAGGGAGACTGAAAGAGCTTGGGTATAATAAGTTCTTCCAGACAATCACAAGTCGAATTGGCCACAAGTTATCTAAATGACAATTGAGAAAAGTCCCGTTTTCTGATGAACAATCTATTTAGTCAAACAGGGCTGCGAGCCGTTGTTTCCCAAGTATTGACAAAACCTTTTTGCTTGGGATAAATTTTATAAGAAACAAAGTCCTTCTGGCCTGGATCGTGGGAGACACATAGTTCACCAGTTGGTGAGGAGTGGGCAAAATCGTTATGCAATAATGGATAAAATCGAGGGCGCCGAGGTTATTATGATTTAATATGAGCAAGCTTTAATCCAAAAGTACTGGTGAGTTGGAAAAAGCTCCAAGTTCTATGTTGTATGATCTTGTTTTGTCAAATGATAAGAGACACCAATGGTGAACGAATTGATTATTAGCATTTACAACAAAGATTAATAAATTATTGACTTTCAGACTTCCAAACACTATTATACATTCAATTTAAGCAATGATTGTAAAAAAACAGAGGTCAATTTCTTTTGTTATCAACACGATAACTGCAAGCCTGACCATACAATACATATTCAAAAAAAAATCTAAGCAAAAATAAAGAATCTCGTCCCAACATGAGCCGAACCAAAACAATTAAATATTACATCCGTGACAGGGGCTATTATTATGTCTTACATCATTAATGTCCACTTTGTCTGGTTTTCTTGCAGCATATCTCTTATTAATGCGTCCTTAATCATCCCCATCTCGGACATATCCCGTGTCAACTGCGAGACATAATACCGATCGATGTACAGCCGGAGTCATTCTCAACATTGTCTTTTTTCTTTTAATCTCAAAATCTGTCTCTATTCTAACATATATAAAGGTTAATTCTTTCAACTACAATAGTCTGTCTGAACGATAGCGACCCTATAGCGGCTCACTTTTGGAAATGGGAATTCTTGCATCCAATTCTTTCCTTTTCTTCCCGCTCTCTCGCTTCAATGTCCAATACCGAGAAAATAGTAAACCCTCATTTCCTAATCTTTCTTTATAGATCTCTTCCTCCTCTGCAGTTGCTTGCAATGTAACTGGAATATATCTCAAATAAGGTGTAGGTACAACTTTTATAGGCGGCGTCTTCCGACCCTCATCGCCACTTCCTGAATGATTCCATGCACGACCACCACGCCCGCGTGATGATTGACCACGTTTAGGGTACGGATAATACCTTGATCCACGGGCGCTATATGAACCTGGTGAGCCCGTCTGTTGCGATTGAGGGGATAAGCTAATAGTTTTATTTTCCGTTCCATCGGGTTTTATTCTAGATGTTAGAAGAGTATATATCTAATTGTGGAATGTACACGTATTAGCATATAATTCGTTTAGATCTCGAGAAAAGATGCTAAAATGTATACCTCAGAATGTTTCTTTGATTTGTTCTTGAACATCTCGCCCAATACTCTTGTTTGTTTCAATAAAGATACAGCTAATTTTTGACTAATTTTACGTATTCCTGTGAGTAATATTACTTTGCATATGACAAGCAGAATTGTACGATTACCTCTCAAACGCGATCGTTCCCTGTCCACGCTGCATTGTCAATAATCGATCAATTATCTGTTATTGAAATGTTGTTTAATAAGATAGGTTAACCATTTTCCGTCCTATATTGAGGCCGACTCGATAAACCGCCAACAAGTCATAAATACAACACCTTATTCATGTTCTGTATGTAATCTAGTGGAGGATTCTCAGTACAAAGTATGCTTCTCAAAGCAGCCAATTGCTCAATCACTGGACCCTTCCCATCGCCAGTATTCTTCTGAGCTGACTGGCCGGGTCTATCCTGTACAGGCTGATTTATATACATGTCATCAAACGATCTCTTCAAATAGCAGTCAATTCGTAGAACGCTATATTCCGACTTACTCTTCCAAGACCAATCAACAGTTTCCATCCCACGTCGACGTTTCCGGTTAACAAACCTTTCCACCATCTCGTTTCCATTTCGAGAGCTGCAGATGATGTGACAATGGTATTCGCATTTGATACACCGGGTTCAGTGCTGAACTGATCATTTAGTTCTGCAGTGTCGAGGACGGTAATTGAATTGTCTATAGTGTCATAGATCTGTTGGTTTTCAACAGAAGTTATAATGTTGGGTCTTATTATGGACTGGACACATTGCTACAGTAAAAAATTAGAACGTGTAAGTCAAATCAAGAAATGTGAATCGTAAGAAATCGTGAAACAGATGCTACTAACATTTATATGTGTAGCTACTAGTGCTTTTGGCCGGGGTAATAATACTTTGGGTGGCGTAGCACGTTCAAGTGATATATATTTCCCCTCGTTTGATTGAGCAAGACAATGTACGTATATCGTGTCTATAATAAAAAAAATCGGGTTATTCAGCAGTCCGGTACGATGAGAGATATAAAAGTGACGAATAGTTACCATTATGAAATGCGATTACATGGGTACTCTCTTTCAAACTAGGCGGAGTATCGTCGCTAACGCCAATCTTGGATGACGGTATTATACTAAAAAAGTGGATAGAGCCTATTTGCGAAAGTACTCAATAAGACAAGTCCTTCAGAAAATACGAGAATCTTGCAATCACAGGACCTAGTCAGACACTGTGTTACTGTCGATCAACCAGTCCAGTGTTTCCCAATTGTAAATTAGCAAAGAATTCTTACATACCACTCACTAAGTTTTGTGTGAATACCACTGTTGGTAATTGAGATATCTGAGTGAATCCAATATATGTTAGTACATCAACTTTAACTGGGTCATCGCAAACAAGTTAGTTCCCCCAAAAACATCTACTTACATCAAGAGGCGTAGCACGATGAATACACTCTGTTGCTATCATGTCTATAGTTAACAGTTTAATTAATAAAACCTGTAATTAGAATTTGTTCATGTTCTACCACACAATCTCGTGCATAAATAACAATACCATGCTCTTGATTCTTCCGCTTGCACCATTTTATTACATTTCTTCGTTCAGAAAGAAAATTTTCTTCATATATACGTCGGTTCACCTGTTTCGTTTCCTCAAGTATATCTGCATCTGTGTACAAGACATGTTGCTTTGTATGATATAATAGATTGATTTCGTATGACACTTTCGTATTCGCTGTAGTTTTCTATCCGATTGCGGTCAGTAAAAATAAAACTTTTAGCCATGCACGAAACGCGATATACATACACAGTTGTGTAAAACTGCGTTACGTTACCTTCATCGGGACGCCTTTTAGTTGCAACGTATGCAACCGGCGGTGTAGTTGAGCAAGATGCACCATTGTACGTGATAGCCCCAATCTTTCATATGGAATATTATATAATGTTACCGAAGCGTTTTTTTCAATCTTCAAGACATGTACAATAAAAATGACAAGAAAGAAAGAAAAACGCTCAAATTAGAATAACGTATCGAATATACAAAGTAGTAAATTATGTCTTCAACTTACCCTTGTCCATGGCATGTCATTGGGTAAAGGCTGATAAGGCGGTACCACGCGTATAATGTCAAAATGACAATGATCAAGTGGCCTATAATATTTAAAGAACGTTATTGTATATAGATTTTTCACGAAGAACGTTCCTCATATTAGTTTTTATCCACACGCGCCAAGCCGTTACATTTATTAAAGACAAACTAGCAAGAAATAAAACTCACAATCCGTCACGATGCTCTCTTGAACTCCAAACGCGTCTGAACACGGCCCGTATCAACTGACAAAGATCAAAAGACGGTAAAGCTCCTTCCGTCTCACAATAACTACAAAACCATCAAAAACTATTATATTCACATTCCATATCTCATCCACTCGCATCTTCCTCTTACCCACCCTCCTCATGCTCATCACTATTTAGCCTTCCGAAGAACTCACTCAAACTCTCGTTCGCCACCTTTGCCCATAACTATCCATATGACTCTAACTCTCTTGCTTGCAGGCGTTGAGGAAGCCATTTGAGTGGGCATAGATCGTGGGTTGTAACTAATCAGTGATCTAACAGCATTTTCGAGAGCTTGTTCCATTCGTGTTAGGAATGGGTCGAGAATCTGAGATGGAATATATTTGAAGTTGTTTGCTATCTGATTGACGTAGTAAAACGTCGTTAGATCAAAGAATAAATTTGGATCGGAGAAAAATAAACAAAAAATAAACCGAACCTCGTTTACATTTCGTACGTGCCAGTCGCTGAGAATAGATAATTCCTTAGTTGTTCCTGCGACATGAATTGAGATCTATAATGACCAGAGACATTAATTAAATAGTCTTTGTTTCAGTAATTCGATATTATAATGTTAAGCTATAAGATCTAGCGAAACTCTCTTGAAGTGCTACTGACCGCAGCATCCTCGAACAAATCAAACACGATCCGACAATATTCGAGAGCTCCCTCGACAAAGCAAGTCCATAGCGTACAGCCTAATCACGTTGGTGTTTGGTAAAGAATGAGTTGTATAAATTTATAGGTGATGTGTCAGCATAAATTGTTCAAGGAAGCTTCGTTGCTTCACTACGAAACAGAAACTCCAGATAACTAACTAACCGGTCTCCTCAGCTAAAATAACCGGTCTCGTAAGCGCGTCTTTGTGGCAATCTAACAAGATCAAAGTTGCCTGCACCGAGGGTTCCATTCTCAACTTTCACCAATTTCACTCGTGAATAATTTCTACTTTTATGTCACGTGGCGAGTACTAATATCCCAACCTCAAATATGAGTTATAATACCACTCACACATAATGTTGGAATGGAAACAATTTTCGGTTAAATGAATTTGAAAGTATCTATTTAAAAGCCGTGGGCGGTCTGCGGTTACCAGTTTGCCAGCTGAAATGAAACAATGTTTTTTTTGTTGTATCTTTATACTAAATCTCTCAAAAGAGGAGGTTAAGCATTGATAGCATCCAAATCAAGGGAACTCTCACCTCTCGAATTGAAACCAGAGAAATTTAGCTTGAGCTCGTTCAGCTTTTCTACGAGTTTTTCGTTGTGTAGATTTAAGAGTATGTACTTGGTATTTAGTAGAGAATATTTGATGTGATGCTAACACAATTTCTAATAATAGTCCTCAAGTTAGGTAAATAGTCTCGATAATATTGGGAAGTTTGTTGAGATTAAGTGTTTATAAATTTTATTTAAATTTTTTATTTTACAAATGTTTTCCAAGTTCTATTTTCTTCTTCAAAGTCTTCTCAGCACTATAAATAAACCCATCTAGTATTCCAGCAACAGTGAATATCCCTCCAACAATAGCGCATATTCCAGTCATAAAATGAGTAAAGCTCTTTTGGTGTTCTCTATTGATTATCAACATTGGCGAAATATCATAATAGAAAAATACTCCTATCAAAGAAACGAAAAAAGTGAGAAGACGTAAGAACCATAATATAACCATAATATAAGATAGGTACCTGGCAATCCACCGTGTTTATTATGCATATATGCCTTGCTGTTGTCTTGCTTTTGGGAAAGGTTTCTCTCATATTCAGTCACAGAGAACTGGTTAGTATATACGCTATCCCCATTAAGGTAATGGAACTGGGTAGCGACGACCTTTAGAAAGTACTGAAATTGGAAATTGCCTATATAATATGGGTGGGTATTAATCGTAACATTGTTTTAACTTGAATTATTCAGACAATTCATGAAATGAAACCGTTCCACCGCCAAGACTCACCACTGTCAACAATCTTGCTCGTCCCGTCTAATGGGTTAACAACACTCTCTACAAAGGGGCCATAACTCATATGATGTATAATATGGGTAAATTCATGTTTTATGTCATCGGAAAGAAATGGTTGTATATCATGGACATGCACGTGATTCCGTTCGAATGATTTACCCGGAGCAAAGTGGAAATTACCAGCCACTTTCTTCACTCTCACTGACCCGGCAAGATTGCAGCCCTCCTTTGATTGCTTTTGTATCTTTTCTATCCATCCTTCGTTTATACACTTGGAGAGAAGAGAGAATATTAAGGCTGATCAGTATTGGCTAGGAAATTCTCATAAAACAGCTTTATAACAAAGTACTATTTGTGCTTCATCAACTGAATCTTGATGAAATTTGTTGTATTCAACAGCAAACTGTAAGCCTACTACATCTCAACATTAAAATTATTACCGATAACCCACCCCCATTACAATGATCAATTTACCTGTTCAACTCCTTCAGGATTATTAAAACTCCATCCTTTCTTAACATAAGCCTCCTTAACGTCATCGCAAGTATTACAGCACCCGCTCTCAGGAGGCTCACCACCATAACATTTCCCACAGTATGTTTTATCGGCATCTGTTTCATTTGTTCCTGTTGTGTTTTTGTTAGGAACTAATTTCTCAAAACTCTTTGTGCTATCTCCAAGTTCTGATTCGAGGAAAATTATAAGGTGTATCGTAAGGGTTGGATGTAAATAGTACACATTAGAATTTGCTATTAGATCAGTGACTGTGCTATATCAATGCATTCTCTAGAATGTTACCTTTTACCATTTCGACTCCAATGATTGCTCCAGATGTATCTAAACGTGTCTTGTGTACCTCATGCGCCAGATCATTGTGTACCTCTCCTGCCGCATCCAAGACGTCCACACTTAATACTTTCAACAAAAAAAAATAGCAATCCGATCGGTTAGAGCAACGATTCCAATACACATGCTTCCTCCCCCATATTTCTCTACATAAATCACTTACAATAACAGGGTATTTTAGGAAACGTTATATTAACATTGATGGTCAACTTTGCCTTCCTTCCCTTGTCGACAATCAGCTCAGTCCGCATTTCTGGTGTACGATAATCAGCGAATTCAGATAACAATAAATATAATATTATAAATGCACTTATGATAGTTACTGCATAGGTAAAGAAACGAATGTTATTATACGGTTGGCGAGAGGTAAAGTTTCGACACAATATTCCATACACAGGGTTGCAGAAACACCTCGTGCATGCTCTACGACGTTTTGAACTTACATGCAGCTCCATAATAGGTCTTGACTCTAAAATCATCAAGTGTCTTTGCATATGCGTCAAGATGTTGAAGTCTGCTTAATAGTGAACCGTGTTTTGCCATTTATTGTGCGGTGGAATGGAATGTTGCAAATAAAAAAAAACGTTTACAAACAAATTCGGTGGACCACACTGCCCGTTTTGGTTTGATGACAATGGCACATAATACGCACATGCGCCACAGTTCAAGGGTTGAATGAGTCTCGAGTCGCATTCGTTAGTCTTCGGATGGAATGCTGTCATACTTAAACAGTGATACACGCTAATTACGCAATTTGTGAAAAATTCTAGTTTGAATATGCAATAATAAATAATACAAGTACAGAATTCAGCGATCAAATGTTAAATTCTGAGTGAGAAATGATTGTTTACGTTAAGGACAAAGATTTTAAAGAATTTATCATAAGAAGTTTGTTATAATGTAACTTAAGAAAGTCATTATTTGTATCCTTAAGTAAAAATATCCTCACACTTTAAAATATTTAAATGCAAAATTTCTGAAATTTTGGTTTACAGTCAAACCTCGATATAGTGAAGTCAGCGGACGGGAATTTTTCTTCACTATATCGAAAATTCACTGTATCGAATCTTTCAATATAGTAAAGTTTATACTAATGCTGTTTTTGGATCAGAGGAATTCTTCACTATAGCGCGAAATTCACTGTATCAAGACTTTAACTATATCGAGGTTTGACTGTAGCAGGCAAAATTTTAGTATAATACAAAATGATGCATCTCACCCGGTTGCTTATATAAAACTTTGGTTAGTGAACAAACACGTATTAAGTAAAGTTGTTAGCAATAAGGAGACGCATCTAAGTGTTAAATCTGGCAAATGTTAAACAAAATACAATTACATAAATTTAAATTTTAGAAATTTTTATATTTTAAATTATTATTCTATAATAATAATAATAATAAACCAAAGTGTTAGAAATTTTGCATCTAAATATTTTAAAGTGTGAGGATATTTTACTTAAAGATACAAATAATGACTTCTTAAGTTATATTATAACAAACTTCTTATGATAAATTCTTTAAAATCTTTGTCCTTAACGTAAACAATCATTTTTCACTCAGAATTTATGCAACACTTGTGAAAGTTACAAAACTTATGAACGTTGATGTTGCGAACAAGTTTACGGCCGACTGTGTTAGTAAAGCCTTTACTTGTAATATGAACAACTGTTAACGTTTATCATTTCTGGCGTATTTTTATTATTAGTAATCAATTTCGAAAACACACTGTTCAAAAGCCGTCAACGAGTATAACCTATTTCTTTGGACACTATAACACATATTTAAGATTCGCTCTTTCTTTATTGTTATTATTACTACTATATTATTAATCACACTGTCACTACTACTAATGTTTCTAGACTATTGCTTTTACCAATTTATGGCGAACTAAAGTTCTATGACGAATTTTTTTTCATTATTTTTATCAAATAAGACTTTAAAGTCTTCCCAAACGTTGTCGATCTGGAAACATTGAGCAAACATACCGTTTTCGCTATGAATATTTGAATATGCAATTGTAAAAACCTTTTTGACTTTTGTTATAAGGACTTGTTCGATTTTGTGATACACTTGGTTTGTTCTCATAGTAAAGCCAAAAGAACGTCATTCTTACCATCGCTATTGATAACCTTAAAGAAGCAATCAGTATAGAATGCATGACAGCATCTCAAGGGACCAGTAATACTGTTAGAGTGTATATATTAATGTGTCAATTATTATAATAGTTGACAATTATAACTATTCATTTGTTTTGCAGGCAACGCAATATTGTAAATGAATACTAACGTATATATACTTTAATAATACAATAACAGATTGCAATATGAGAGACAATAAAATAGTCATAATTTCTATAGAAAGCTTGTCTTTTAGTTATTCGATAGCAGTATGCAAGCCTTTCATTGAGAATTCTTATATCGAACTTTTTTTATATGCATTTTCATTTGAAGTCAAATAGTTTCTTCTCTATGATCATAAATTTACAAGCAAAAAAAAAAAAAAAAGGCAGTACATCAGATTTATACTAACGCAGCTCTGAGGATTTTATTTCTCCGGGTAAAGTATTTCCTATTACTAATACAGTACTATGGAGTCGATCAATTGTATCCTTTCAACCGATTTACTATGCCAGTAATTAACAAAAAGTTTCTTGCTCAAAACATGAGGTTACTTTAACATGTATTATTAAAAGAATCTTGTCTTTGTATCCAACTCGTTAGAATTGCTACTATTGCTCGCACAAATTTAACGTCATCCGTGAACAAACCCCCTGACCAGCTCCGTACAATATAATATATGCCACATACGTCATAATACGACCATGGCGCCGAATAAAGTGTCATTATTATGTTCACTTGTCTGACTGGCGCCCAATCACACGGAATACAGACGGATAAAGAATCCAAGTTAGAATAGTACACCATCCAAGATAATTTGTAAACCAAAAAAGAATAAGCGAGAGCTTCGTTACTTAAAGGTTATACAAATAAATTAACACATCGTTGTTTTGCAACCAATTGATAGTATTGCTTGCCTACTTGGCAGAAACGTGTATAACTCACACGAAGCCCACTGGCTTCTCAACTGAAATTACAAGTTCTAAAATTTTGTTCTGGTACACGATGCCTAATAAGGAACGTGTACACCGGCAGAACATAAATAATAGTCATTTTAATAAAAAGACTTATTGAGGCATGACACCAAGTTAATGCAAATGATATCCGAATAACAAAAGTTGCTAAAAATACTTGGGCAAAAAAAAACAACAAAAACAACAACCCAAGAAATAATCTAAAAGCGTTAGTCTTTTGGGACTGCTGTAAAAGTTGTATGATAATGTACCTCAGTTCGAGACCATCTCAATCTAGAACTCGGTCATCCCAGTCCAGAATCTCAATCCAGATCCCAAACCGAGATGCAACAATAACATCTGATGTGATGGACATGGTAAATTTAATAAAAATTTCCTTGAGAATGTCTTTGATTCAAAGATACAATGCCTCGTCTAAACAAAAAAGGAATGTACAAATCAAAGGTTTCCTGCAAACGATAGATGTTTGCGTAATGTTATTTCGCATTATCGTTTGTTTGTTTGTATCGTATGGGATTGAATGTCAATCTGACTCACAACTTAAACGTGATTAAGACATTCACGGTAATGACAGTAACGAGCTTCTCTTGACAATCACTATTGCCTTGACTGCTCTCGTTATTTTGGCCTCCTGTTGACTCACTCTCTCGCATTCGACGGGTTTTCCAGTTCCCACAATATCTATATTATTTTTTTCGTCGCTGAATGAATATTAAATAATTTGCCTGCTCACCAACGTGTTTCATCCAGTCGTTACTTTCCAGGGACTATTGGCCGTATATCGGTTGCGCTATAATCGTTATGAACGAGGCAATTCTACCTAAAATTAACCTGCAAACTACTTCTTTACAGCACCACGTGAGCTTAATATTTGCATTATTAAGTGTCGATTTATTAATGTGTTATTGCCCGTATTATTTATTCTGCTTCCCACGCTCGTTTCTATTTAGATTTGGTTTGGTTAAATGACAATTAGGAGTGTGATACAATCGGTTTCTGCACCAAGTAACATCAGTATGATACATGCATTCAGTCATTACGACAGACCATTTATGTACATAGAATGAAAAGTATTGTTCCGTGGTATGCCGATCGCCTCAGATGTATAAAATTAACCCGATGCACCGCTTCAGATCCTTTTTTTTATCAGCGTTCAATCATAAAACAAGAATCATTGTATATTGATACACAAAAACAGCCCCCGCACGTTTAGAATAACATCATTCCGAGTTGACAAAGAACCCCCATAAACCTTACTCAACAAAGAAAGAACCAACAAGGCAGGTCAGTCGCTTAACAAGACATTCGGTTGAATTTAAGTATTTATATAACCTTTTCCATGGCATGGCAAACACCAAGCTTTAATCTTTTCCATGGCATGGCAAACACCAAGCTTTAATCTTTTCCATGGCAAACACCAAGCTTTAGCATTTTCCACATACCCCCGTCTTTTACCTCTTGTGTTACTCATATTCGGTTTTTATGTATGAACACAAAAAGCAGCCCATATTCATATCGTATCGACCCTGTAACTGTACAAATTAGTTAATTTACTGGCTTGTGCTTACTGTTTATATCCATTCTATTTCATGCACCTCAATTTGATACTAATTGGGGACTGGTGCGTAACACTATTCGTATCTTAATTGCCGTACACACCTTAAATAGAAATACCGTGCAATTTCCCCCAATTCCCCTGTCCCGTTCCTTTCCTGAACACATTGAATATCCCCTTTATGCTTCCAACCCGCTCCTCACTCTTTTTCCCCCCTATCAACATTCATTTGTATGCATATACCCTACGATAGATAGCCTTGCACTATCTTATTCTTTTTACCATTACAACGCGTTCTAACTTTATTTACATCACCACCTCCACCAGTTCCCACAAATACATTTGGGCGAAAAAGAAACCAAATTCTCACCATGCGCCTAATCCCAAAACGCATAAGCTCTCACTTTGAGGCTCCCTCACCAAAACTGAAAAAACACTCGAGAACAACATATTACGAAGTATCTTCAGACGACGAAACATCCGACGATTACGATGAGGCAATCACTCCCCGCTCGTCGGCAGCATCGTCGGACAATGAAATATCTATCGACTATACGGACAGCACAGGGAACTTTGTCAAGACAATGAGGACGATAAAGAAGGAACTCCGAAAAGGTGTCATGACGAACGGGATGGATATATCCTCGATCATCGAGCAGAACGAGAAGATCGATGTCGAAACGATAATTAGCGGAAACTTGGCAAACATACAAGAACATTCTGTCAAAGCACTAAAGGACCGTGCTATCTACATGGCATCGAGAATAAAACAGCAACTTCCATCGATTTTCACCTCTATTACACTCCGAAATCCGTCGTACTGTGACCTTCCGTCTTCTGACATCTCGTCCTCGTCGCTTACCAAGACCATAGCCGATCGTCTCTATACGTATTTCTATCTTACCTACGCTCTGGATTCATCTCACCCTCTTCGCATTTCTCACATTTCCCGGCTCTCTGACCAATTATCTTGTCAAGGGGACTCTGAACTATCTAAAAAACGGGGTGGCGTGGAAGCATATTACGCGGTCCGGTATACGTTGGACATGTTCTTTAAACATAGTATTTTACCATCGCAAAAAACGATTATGGTTGAGAGGGCTAGAGCGGTAATCGAAGGGTGTGTGGACAGTGAGGAAAAGTTGAGCAAGAGCGAGAGAGAATGCATGTACGCGTTTCATAAACTAATGAGCGGGATGAGGTGGGATAAGTTAGATGTTCAGTTGTGCGGCGTTGGAGAATAAGTCGATTGTGAGTTGGGAAAACTGTTGTTGGGATCGAGAGAGGTTGGAGGAAGAAAGGAAGAAAGGAAGAAACGTATCGAACCAAATCCACCAATGGCCATGGTCTAGCACCATTCCCTTAAGACAATTGCAAGAATAATTCTACTTGCTTTTATTGGATATTCGATATCAATCAAAAGAGAGAGGCGAAAGAGGAAAAAGAAAAGTACGAATCTTATTGTTGGTGGGTATATACACAATATCCGTTGGCAATGTACATGCCGTGCAAAAACATTGTAATTTATCTCAGATCTACAAGTATTTATTCTTCGCCTGTTCACTGTTAAAAAAAAAACCACATTTTTGTATTTTCCTCAGCCTATGATTATCCCATTATTTTCTTAGTTCCAATGTTCTATCTAGTACGAATCGACTGACTTATTAGTTCTATCCCACTAAAAATTTAATCCATATAATTTAGTACTTTTCACCCCCATCTTGTATAATATAGTTGTTATATTAGTTAGTGTATATGGCATTCGTGCAATAAATGTGGTACGAAATTAGAGCGTAGTCTCGAAAGTGTGAACCATTTGTTCATATAATTTAGCATAGATCCTGAAAGAGTGGTGCTAAAGTTTGCGGGTTCACGAAACGCGAGATTGTCACACGACATTACAAACCAGCCAATTAACAGACAAGTGGAGAGTGTTTCAATTTAAATTGTGTAAAGATTATCGAAAAAATTTTCGATGATGTAATACGTTAATATTAACCAAATAGTATACTATTAACCAAACACACTACAACAAACAACCACGGAATAAAGAACGGCGAAACCCTGCACGACTTTCTAAAATCGTGATTTTGAACCCTGTTCTTCATCTCTTCAGGAAATATCATCGTTATTCAAAAGGATCCTTGAGTTTCTACCATCTTGGCAGCAGCCCCTGCACAGTATATATTAAGCTTTTGTTCCGATCTGATGATCTTTTAAGCAGTGTTTAGTTTGACATTAGAACTTTCCATTGATCGTATTACGTTACTGTGACAAAGCATTAAGCATTAAAGCATTTAATATTATGCATTGTAATACAAAGGGTGTTTGTAAAACGTTGCATGTGAATTTCTGATTTTCGGTCATTATGCTAGCGAACAGGCATTTCTTGCCTGGATTTAGAATAGCATTGTGTAATAAAAATATAAAGCGATAATTGTCAGATATCTTTGCAAATATTTTGCGTTCTTTATTAGCCGACAAAGTTTTACAGTTGTCTTTATTGTAGATAACAGATTACACGAATTATTCCAAGTGTGACCAAAGAATACTTGGTATTGCACTAATACTAAATTTTATAGCCAAAAAGATAATATTATTTGAGACACAATGTCAAAACACGGTATTAAACACCATACACAATGTACCGATACTAGGCCCGTGAAAGGTCGACAACACGAACAGTTTGGTTTTTCCGTTTCCATAAATTTTTTACGTTGTGTTTGTCATGGTTGACATAAGGGTACTGTTGGACTGTTTGATGGCATACTTTTGTCTTACCATTATGGTCTTCGCGCTGGGCTGTGCTGTCCCTAATTCTATTACTCTATATTTAAATGTAATAATAAGGTAATTGAATAAATGACCAAAGAATTGAGGACATTATACCTCTCCTTTAACTTACCTACTTGCCAAGGGAGGTAAGCTGATGAGAGCGCCCTAAACTACCTTAGGCCTTGTGCCAACTACGAGTACCATATTATCTGATTCGCCAACACACAATTATGGGGGAATGTTCTCAATCTAGCTCTAAACACGGCCCTGCTAACGTGTCCGCTTTAATAAGGCATCAGCTAAAGGCAGCTACATACTGTATATATTCCCTATCGCTGGAATATAATTCATTACTCTAGAGTGCTAATTAATTTGTGCTACTAAAGGTGTTTATCGAAGATTCTCCTATTTGTGAAATAAATATTTCAATTATCAAAGTTTGTTTATTTAAGTATACAACGTTTTGTCATAGTATAGATACCATTATTGTAGCTTTATAGATTTATAATTTTCTACTGTAATTGTCTTCATAGATAGTATAGTAAAATATAAGCGTTTTATTATTATTATGATAATTAACTCAATTTGCTATTATTGTGAAAACTATATATATAGTATACTATGAATGCGTAATTATGATTAAGAATTACGATAATGACCATGGTACTGTTTAGTGATGAATTACATCAAACACCATTCCTTTGTCTAGAAACTGATACTGGGTTTATTGTGTCTGTATTAATGTAGCTGAAGAAACAAAGCATACTGTTGTAGGAAAATTCCAACTCTTGGAAATAAACGTAAATTTTTAATTTCTATCTAATTTTGCTAACACTTATTATTATATATATACTTTTGGACAGTGTTTGGACAATTATTACACGCTTTGACCAATATCTCTATCTCAACCGGTTAGTTACAAATTGAAAGTTAAAGAAAACAGGAGAACAATACATACAATCTCAATTTGGCGTAAAACAAAATGTTAACACGTGACGCACTGTGTTAATACAGCATGCAGAATGGTTAAAAGAGCTATTCCAGTGATTCTAATCGAAACGATAATATATTACATGTTACAGTATTAGTGTTAGCAGAATTACCCAAACTATTTTTGCTAGAGATAATAGATGCTCGGTAAATCGTGGTGGATATTAATATGGAATAATTCTATGGAGAAAAAATGGCCAACTTCCAATTTATTTTATTTTTTAAATTTCTTGCGGAGAAACGTTGTGACTTTATTAAAATAAAGGCATACCACAGTCGACTGCCGATAATTCGACTCCCATAACTCGACTTTTTCGATAACTCGATCGCCTTGAGCAAGACCCGATTTTAATATGATTGTTCTTCCTTAAGCACGTCTGTCATTAATTCGACATGTACGTTAATTCGACAGATTGAATTGACTGTGCGCTGTAGATTTTTTTCATAGTCCTCTTTACGCGCAGTATATTGTAACAAAGGTTTCTGATAAACACTGCGAATAGTTGGAATTTTGCGTTCTTTATTTGTTTACACCTTCATAAATCACTTGGCAAGGGGTCAGTTTCAACGCTTTCGTAGTGTTTATTGCGGTAGCCATTCAACATGCTCTAGATATGATTTCAAAGTAACCGTTATCTCAACGATAATCGTATCAAGTCATTTACGAAAATAAATGATTGGATAAACATCCGATATTTAAAAAAAATCCAAGGGGTTTCCTGCATATTTGAGATCCCAAATAAAATGGTTTCCATCTGGTTGGCCTTGATTATACTAGAGATCTTGCATGCACAGAATCACTTAAAGAACATACCAACAATATTTTTATAATGCAAGACTGTTTACAAGCTGCCAGTTACAATATTTGTAAATGTACAATTTTGAGTAATTCTCAAATACATAACATTGATACGGTTTGTTTATGTCCATATCAATATCTTTTTGTTAGCGAGTCTTACCAGTTGTGGGCGGATATGCAGGGCCACTTGATTGCAATCGACAGGTCGATTTGTTTGCGCTTACAATTGAACGTCTCTTTTTTGCAAATGACCCCAACGTTCCCAAAAACGCTTTATCGGGTAGAAGCACAATCGGATCTCGTGTACTAAAATACAATCGGCCCTTTTTCTTCCCCTTGTGTGTAAGATAATAAATAGTCTGTCGATGCTTGCTTTACCAATTGTGAGATGAGAGAGATGATAAACTAACAGCATCGCAATCAGTAACGGTCCGTACGTAAGATAGAGAAAGGGTCTTGATAAATATACCATCGCAATTTCATAGCTCTTCTTTTTCGAATCATTTCTCCGTTGCATAACGTTTATGCACGTCCATGCAAGCTAATTTTCAAATGACCATGCATACATTTGACTTGCTTATCGTGATCTGACATAAATGAAGGATTATTATTTAATGAAATTAATAAGTTAGTTAATAAACTGTCAAAAACCGTGTTCTGCGGACTTTCTACACACACACATCATTGCTTATTTTGGCAAACAAATATAACATGCACAATTCCTTATTAGAAACTAAGTTTTGGAATCCCGAAGCTTATTATAAAACCGAAATAAGGGAAAAAGAAGGCTAAACAGCACGCCTCAATCCAATGTTGGAAGAGGAGATGGGGCTATTTATGCCTATCTATGGATACGTTACTATCATTAGCAAAAAATTCACGTGTTCTTTTTTGAGCATTTTATTATGATGTGTTCTATTATCGAATCTGACAGTGTTTAGACTTTATCCAGTAAAGACAAGCCCAAGTTGAATCGGGCACTGAATTCAAAAGGTGGATCACATCGCAACTATATCTTAGTTTGCTGCTGTCGCCACCGTCCTTTTCCCACGGACGCTATATGATATCGACCGAGTAATTTTAGGTATCGAGAAGAAAAATATGCTTTGCTCCTCACATACACCAGACAACCGCAAATTCTACAAGCTTTGTAGAGGGTGCCCTGGAATTCGCCATATTTTCGTCACATAACAATAGGTGGAGGTAGAAACTAAAGACTCAAGCATGTATCAAAGACACGAAGGATAAATGTTAGTTACAAATTATAAGAATATAACGAACACTAAAGAGATAAAAAAAAGGTTAAGTAGGGAATCATGAAGTTATGTGGTAAATGTATATCAGAGGAATATTTATAATGCATTGCCCCGTACAATGTTAAGTGTGCCAAATTTATAATAATGAAGGAAGTTCGACAACGCGAACAGTTTTATTTTCCCATCCTAAAAATCTTTCACGTTATGGTTGTTCAAGATGACACCAGTCTTGTAGACTTGAAAACAAACAAAACTGATATCAGCCACTAGCTTATAAAATATCAAGTCGTCGAAGCCAATAAAAGATTTGCATCGCCTCGTTATTAGGGCGAGCTTTGTCTCTATACTGAACAGCTATCAGCAACTCACTTAAACGTGAAATTTGTGCCTTTCTAAAAATAGCTTGCTGTTAAGCAAGCTGAAATTGCAGTTTATTTCGATACCCGCAATTATTCGAGTGGCATCACGATAATTAATCGTTTCTTACTTAAACGTGTTTGTTATTGTCATAAATACCTATATCGATAGATTACCAACGGTAAAGAACCGAGGCATACTCGAGGACAAATTAATTATCGACGATTAGTGTCTGCGCATTGGCACTGAGAGTCGTGAGTAGAAAAGCCTGGTTTAAAGGTCACTAATTACAAGTAGGAGGCGTGCCACGCTCCGTTCGATTCCTAGCGCTGACAATTGACTGCTTTCCCGCAGTTGTTGGCACGACACAGAAATATACTATAGGTAGGATCGCATTGTTGAGACATTGCAGTTTATTCATTTCACCGATGTGCTAGAATTAACATTGTGCAATATCGAAACTCAATGAATAGTAAAGATGCATGATAATTAGTTTGCTATTATTATATTATTGCAACCTAAATACCGTTATTATTATCCCACCATCACATTTAACAAACAGTGCATCTGATCCATCTTTTTTTGTTGTTTTACCTTATCATTATCGATAAGTCAATAATGAATACGCTATTCCTGTCGTTACTAAGAATAATGTTTTCTTTTCGGACGTCGTTATGAAGAACATCGTGTTTATGTATTTCGTGTTTATGTATTCCAGTTAATGCATTCCATGCCTGTCTTCAAAGGAAAATGAAGCCACTTCATCGAAAAATTCCTTCCACAAAACCAATTCTGAAAGTCTCCCTGTGTCGTTGCTCTAGAATTTAAATCACTGGAGTATTCAAGCTTAGGTGGTGGTATATAGAATAATACCTGATAGAACTAGAATAGAACGCGGGAAAGTCAAAAATCAACTTTAGTTAGTAACATTCTCCGTAGCATAAGAAAACATATTACTATGCTACTCTATCTACCCCATGTACACACTACTTTGTCCCCAACGTCCGGTCACAGTCGTTACCTGGCTAAGCGGTTGCAGTTGCGAGGGCTCGCTACAGCTCTTGAAACATCTGTCTCTTCTCTCCTCCAGCCTCTTCTTTAAGTTCTGCCTTCTACGCCTCTTTCTCTGCTTTGTCTTTGTATTCCTTCCTAATTGCAGCTTTTCCTTCAACTCTGTCATTCACTTCTTCAACGCAGCCTTCGCCTCCTTCAACTCTTCTTCGACAGTCGCCTTTTTTTTTTTCATGAAAGATGCGCTGCGCGACGTGATCTAATATACCGACACGCTTAATCAATGACGTATAGGAACTTTCTAGACCTTTTCATGTATGCGAGTAGTTTTACTGTGAAATCAGAACCAATTCATTCTTGTGATTATAAAAATAAAATTTCGAATCTAGCAAACCTAATAAATTTAGCACTCTTTCTTCGTTTAAACAACCCTGGTTTACGTGCTGAAAAGTTTTGGTGTGGAATAGCTTTTGACGTGCTCTCCATTAAACTCTATACAGCGTTCTAGCCGATTTCGTCAACTATGGAAAGAGTCCTCTTTCGGGACTACAGCCTGAACTGCCCTTGCCAGATTTTCGACTTTATCAAACTTCATATTCAGTTCGAGGGAATAAGAAAAATCACAAGGGTGAAAAACATGACGTCATAAACGCGGAGGCTCAGCTCATCGTGCAAAATGTAGGTACTGTAATTCTTTCACGAGAAATGCACACTACGTTAGCTAATTCTTTAATAGAAACGTGTGGTTATTGCTAACAAAATTAGAGTCATCTTTTCGTTACTTCTCCCGTTTCATTTTTTCCCAGTCGTTTACAAAATGGTTTCTCGACAATAAGATAATGAATTCCCGTCTTTTTTTATTTGTTACATGAATAGCATGTGCATTTGATTATTATTATTAATCTCGAGTTCCAAAACGTCCATTATTCGATTTTAGTTTTCAGTAAAATAAATATAGATTCATTATCTATTCGTGACATCGACAACTCAGGGACTGAAACAACTGGAATAATTTGAGAGAAAACGACTAGCTATGTTCTTTACAACCATTATAAGTTTTGCTTTTAGATGTTAGGTATCATAAACGTTACGACGAGATGAGTTTTTCAAATCTCGTTCTCAGATTTATCGTGACACACACTCTTTACGATGGAAGAGTTATTAACTCTTTTATTACAAGAGTAATAGTGCTTTTTTGAGATGCGACTTTATGTTGTATATAAATCATGTAAGTCTCCCAAAGTCGATTTATAATCGTGTTGGTGAATGTCCAACTATCCTCAGTAAACCAGATTAACCGGTTATCCTCAACAGTCGACCTACACAGGAACGCAGGTTCTATTACCAGTATTTTTTATTTATCTGCTGGTGTTGTTTAAGTACTTTCTAAATGCCCTTTTAATTTCTATGAAATAATGATATTGATATTTCTCAGCGATCAACACTGAGTCATTGCAGCAAGTTGTGCACTAGCTATTTCTAATTATAAAATAAATCATGAATAATCTAAATAGAAGCACGGATTGATCTAGACCTGATTCTAACCCATAACCTTACAAATTTTGTCCCGATTCCACATTTACACGTACATTCATTCTCGCTTTCGCACCATCCTATGATATTCATCCATTATCTCTTTTCTCTCTCTAATGCACATAATCATCAATAGCAGTATCGCCACGCGTTTTCTTATTAAATTTAGACAAATGGGAAACATCACTCCATAGTTGCACTTCTCCCTCAATTTTCAATTCTTCACCATGTCCCACTTTCGCTTCGTCTTCCCCTTCTTCTATCCTCGTCAATGTCACTTTCGTTATGCTCGAATTCTTGGGTTTATGTTGTATGCTCTTGTAATCCTTGACGAAAAAGCCCAATTCCATAATCAAGTATTCCTTGACAAACCGATTGATCACTCCACCGTGTGTAACGACACAGATATGGGTAGTCTTTTTGGGAGTTTCGATTGCGTTAGTCGGCGGAAGGTGCTTGCCGATTATTTCTTGAAAGAAAGAAATTACGCGTAACGAGAATGTTTCTTTTGATTCTCCATAATCCTCCCATAAACCGTCTTCGGTTTTGATTAGATTGAGTGCGGCGTGGATGGATAAATTGCTTAAACGGCCGAAATCCTTAAGTTGTAATTGACGGTTAGCTGGATGAATTGGCTTTCAAGTAATATCTATCAATGTGTCGATGCACTCGCATGCCTCGCCACAAACTTTAAAATCCCTCTCACCTTCTCTCCGAGCCTCGTATCAACTGTAAGAGGAACATCTTTATGATACTGAGCAATAGCTTCAGCCGTCTGCAACAACGTCAACAGTAGTATAAATATTAGTGAGCATTCCGATTACGAATATTATCCCATCGGTATCATTTTCGACATGCCAGCAAATACAACACAGTCTCTGTTAACTAACCTTCTTTGCTCGACTCAAGTCACTGGTATAAATATGAAGGAAGTTCACTTTTCGTAACCGGCGGCCGACTAATTCTGCCTGTTCCATTCCGACTTTGTTTAATTTTGTATCTGCCATAGGTGTTTGAAAACATGGTTAGGAATCGAAAATGAAGAGAAACGCAGGTAGCGATAGTGTTAATAGATAGATATGTTGCGTGCAGAGCCTGCTGAGTACGCCCACAAGTTACAGTATCCATGTGGTTCCTGTATATATACGTTTATGCTTAGCAAGACATACCGGTTTGACCTTGAACTATATGATTCACATTATGATTTGTCTCTCCATGTCGGATTATCGTCAGTACAAGTTGGGTCGACATATTTGCTATATCCAAGTAATGCGTGTATTAATAGATAGTCCTGCGGTGTATTCTCTACTTCCAATGCCGAGATATTTATGCTTGTTTAAGTATATATTATATCAACAGTAACAAGACAGCCGAAAGGTAAAGAAAGAATAGTAATTATCGCAACCGAGAACGCAAAGTCAGTGAGTTAGATATCGTTGATGATCCAAGGTAAAATCTGGTTTTTGGTGATATGGTGTCACTTTTATATAGTGACGAGTTTCAGGGGTTACAAACCAACGTGATTATGACAGATGTTAATATTAATATTAATGTGAACACTTAATCTGCTTTCGTTCTATACCGACATCTTAATCTGCTTTCTCCGTATGGAATTAATTGTTACAATTTCATTTTTTCCTTTAAATGAATTGGTAATTGTATTGCGATAGTTGGTTATAATTCTGTTCTTGAAGCTTGGCAACTTTGTCAGCCCAAACTATAAAAGGGGGTTCTTTTCTTGGACGATGTGGAAGCAGTAACGGTAAATAGTTACCATAATGACCGATTTTTTAAACCAACACTATTACTATAACATGTGGCTTAATAATCTAACCCCAAAATTCAATGTTATCAAGTATTTTATTTGTATTTAACAAATTGATCGAGAATCATTACCATATCACTGCCCGTCTCACCCCAATTCCTGTTGTTGTTGTTAACACAAAATCCTTGTCTCTTATCATTCGTCGCTTTGCATCCCTTGCATAATAGGCTTATCAAGAGAGATTCTTCTTTGTTAATCTACCAATCGTTCATATGTGTGTCTTTCGTATAACGCACCTTTCAGCGATTCCAATACATATTTCGATAATAATAACAAGAGAGCATATTATGATATGCATGGTTACACGACGGAACGGGTTATGCTGTGATACGCATGTACAAGCAATGCAGAAAAAGCAAATGCAAGCCAATAAGATCGTCAATGCAACTGCTCCACTTGCAACAAAGTGTCGTAAGAGTAACGCCACTATAAGAAAAATATATTGGCCATTATGACGATTTTAAACGTGCTCTTTTCTCTCAATGTACCCAAAGCTTTGATCGCTTTCATTTGGTGATTCTTCTATATCATTTGCAAACTTTAAATGACACATCAAACGTGCTTTCCATACTATGTGATGAGTATTACAGCCCACTATCTTGTACTATTGATTGCGCCAACTGCTCATAAAACAGTCCTCGGTCTACGCGTTTCGATTTTCGAGTGTATTAGAATCTTATTTCTCAACTCTTCGGCTGGATTGTAACGCTTGGTTGAGAGTATACTATAGGAGACGTACCTAGTTTCTTGATGACGCACTCACTAACCGAATTGCTTCGAATTGTCATAATGCTAGCGACAAACTGGAAAGGCAACAACTTGAGCACTCCAGCACACTAAACAATAAACATCCTGTGAACACACTCATCTGTTGAACAGACAACTAAACAAGTAACCATGATAGGTGACGATATTTTCATAGACTCCTTCTAGAAGAGCAATATGCTTGTTAAGGAATATAATAAGAAGATATTAAAATAAGGAATGCAGGATAAATTAATTACATCATATGTGATTAAATTTACCATATTTACCATATGTGATTAAATTACCATATGTGATTAAATTTACCATATGTGATTAAATTTACCATATGTGATTAAATTTGAACCCCTGAAATAATTTGTGGCGTTGTGACTATGCGTCCAATGTGTTACTTTCACTAGTTTTTTTTCCACCTCCCTAAAGTTGCCTCACCCCCTTCTTATGCTTACTAAATACTTGACGGGGTGAAAATAGAAAACGCCCATTTATATCGTGCATACGGTGAAATTATTCCAACCACATGTCATTGCCAATGCATTGACATTAGCTCGTGATGATGCTTTAAAAAACGTGGTTTATCTGTTATTTGTTAGTAACTTTGATTCAATTTTGGCTGAATATGCAACATGACTAGCACGGCATGATCATGTGACAGCCTCGCATCGATGCGATCAAATTACACATTGCTCGAGTTATGTGTTGCCTTTGATAATACAACAGAGTATTCGACTGCGCCGAAAAATATTTGAGTGGCTGCTGGTTGTTTAGCCTGCGTTAGTATTAGGTGGGAAAAGACTTGGGGTTAGCATGCTCCAAAGGCACTTTACGCGTAATCGCAGCAATACGAAATAAGTGTTACAGCTGCATGACGAGTTTGCATTTTTATTAATATCTATGACATTGTAAATTCCAAGCCCATAAATAGTATGTCGTTACACCGCGTTAGCGCTTCCTTTCTGCAATTATGACAATTTTGTTGTTAGTTAGACTCAAATCGCTATTTTTTAATTTACTCATAACTCTATACTTACAGGAATGGTCGAGACACTTTCAATGACATAGCTCAAACTGCACTGCTTATGTTCATCACTTTTGAACGAATTACAGATTGCTCCACAGTACAAATTAAGCCCGGGCGAATATCTTATTTTCACTGACAGATCGTTGTCAGGTGGGTTTTGTTTGAGTCTGTAAATTCCCGAGTGAGCAAGGGCTAGAGAAAGAATGGGCGGCATATTGGTATATAAGCAAGTCGTGATTAACACATGCATAACAGTTAGCTATTTCATCCTCTCTCGCTAGTACCTTTAACAATGTCAGAGTCGTAAGTGTATATACCGACACCCCAGATTTGTTTGATCGAAGCTTGGTTGAACGTAAGATAGGAAGATGGTATTCTGTATTCAAGCATGTCACCACTTTGTGGTTTCCGTCCCATTGTTGCCAGTTTTGATACATTTAAAGTGTTTGGATAGACAAGGACGTGTGAAAATGAAGAAGCTGAAGAAGCAGGCTGATCGGGTTTAGAGATTTCTGTATGTTATGGGACAGGGGACGGATTTTTGTTATAACAAAATGCGAATTCAAATATACCACACACGATATGATTATCACTTACTTGAAATGACTTCCCTAGTAACTTGATCGATAATTTCTGGCAGTTTTTCGCTGAACCATGTCTGCAGTATTGTGGCAGCCATGTTAGCTGCATCATCTTCAGTATGAATCTATTAATTCCACATGATATTTGACAAATCAGCCAGGAAAAGCCGCAAGTGAAAATCATAATCGTTGACTATTAATTTACCTTTGAATAATTATACCCTTTGTTCTCTTTCTTGGTTGTCAAGTTGAAGCACAATTGAGATTTATTTTTTAATGCGTCAGCAACTTCCTCATCCGACGAGACCGTGATTCTTTCTTCCTCCTCGTCGATATAACTCAAAACCATCTTGTCTGTTTCACCTATATCGAATAGTTTACGAAGCTGCGTATTGATAAAGCAAATAGTTAAAGTACACGTTATATTGCATAACTATATGGTATCTAATCAATTACTTCCTGCAAATATACCTTTTCTTCTAATTCTCCCCATCTGGTATGTGCCGACACGCTGATTTTCCTTGTCTGCGTCTCTCCAAAATCATCTCTGCGAACTTTCAATTCCGTTATCGATCCTCCCATTGTTAGAAAGGTCAATTAAGTATAAGAGTTGGTGGTAAGGCGAAAGCTAATATTATCACCAGTTTTGATGAGTCTAATGTTTCACAAGTTGTACAACCTTAATTTTTAATTTGCGCAATACAATTTTGGCAATGATAATACTTTGTGATCTCTTACACACAATATTTTTCACGCACGCCCGAAAAAGTTGCTGTAAACAGGTGCACTATTGGTGGATGCAAATGCAGCGCTCGTATAGAAAAGATAACGACCAGCTAGATACTTTTAGAAGAAGTTCATTAATGTACAATTTTGAGTCGGGTGCAAGTACATAGGATTTTTGACCAGCTAATAGCGAAATAATTGTGGATGCGACCTGTAAGTAGAAGAATAACTGGTATGAGTAATTTAAATTTACTAATAATAATTTTTTTAGATAATTAGGTTTCGTCAAAACAACGGAGTCGGATATCCGGTTGCATATTTATTTCTAAAAAAGAAGACGGCGTTCGAACAGCAATCCTTACTGAATTTTTTAATACATTACGGCGTAAGGAATTAAAAAGTCCATTCTTTCTCACGGGTAAAGATTGGGTACAGATTCATGCAGCACATAATGTTTTGGCCCTCAACAAAAGTCCAGCTCTGTCTTTGGCATTTAAAAAAGGGCAGTTAAAAAAAGACTGGCAGACAGTTCGATTCCCAAATAAATTATTACAATGCTGAATTTGCCCAAGCGGAGACCAACTTTATCGATGCAAATTTTCATCCGTTTCTTAGAGATGAACATACGGGTATTCGTTCAAGGACTAATAGTCACCAGCGATTTTGTCCAAAAGAGTTTCGTGAAGAAATCTTAGAGATGATTGATTGTCTACCATTTTCACCTTTATCCGTTAATACCAAATGATCAAAATCAGTTCTTATCAGCCGACGATATCTGGCTTTTATCGGTTACAAATTTTGTCATAAGAAGGACCTTAAAATGGACAAATTGGTATCAAAAAGCACTTGGATATTATGGGCTAGAGCAGGAAATCCAGAAAAAATAGGCTTATACAGAACAATGATGTTGGTTGAAGCTCATTGGAAAGTGATAAAAAGAGATTATTATTTACCCAAAATTTGTTCTTATTAATCGCATTACCAGAGACGATATTCCCAAATAGCATCAGCCGAGAAACAGTCTCTTGGAGAAAAGATTTTAAAAAATCTAATGAGACGTGAAAGACAAACATCTAATTTTCATGTTACCGATACAGAAAGATGGACGTGCAGTTGTCGGGCGTTTTTAATGGGTCGTTGGCCTATGTGTTATATGTTTTAAAGTAGAACTTCTATTGTCTAAATGCGGACAAAAGTATAAATATCGTATTTAACTGGAAGAGGGACAAATCTTTGAAATAAACCCATACAGGTTACAAATAAACCGTAGATTACAGGTTTATTCAAAATCTTTCGCCACTAAATTAATGAGATAAATTGTAACTTTTATCAACGCGCTAATTACAGCCATCATACCTGCAACTGAATCCAAATCATAGCTATTTCTCGGGTTTAGGCAAATTTCCTGTAGGTAAGACCATATTAGAATATTTACTCTCTCTCGAGACGTGACAGGGGTTTTACATCATTATGATAAACGGCATTCCATATATCGTTGTCATCAGAATTGTCGGTTTTCACCTCACGAGTAAGCGTGTAAATATAATCGACAAGTCCATTTGTATCTGGACGCTTATCGGGATCAGCATCACAACACCGCTCGGCAAGTTTCTTGTATTCCTCTGGTGCGGAATCAGGCATCGGTGGTCGTAGTCCATCCACAATCTCGCGTATTAAGCTTGTATCAAACTGCCTATCTCTAAAAGGTGGTTCACCAGTGGCCATCAAATGCATAACAATACCAAAAGAATACACATCAGATTTCTTCGTAAATTTGCGGGTATGGAAGACTTCCGGTGCAATAAAGGGTAAAACGCCTCGAATGGTTGAATTTGACTTGCGTGAATTCACTGATTGTGAGAGACCAAGATCGCATATGAATGGTAATATCTCATATGAATTATCATGCAAAACTATGTTTCCGCCATGAAGATCACAATGCACTAATCCTGCACTATGAATATTTCTCAGATACCATGCAATATAGTACAACTGCTCTAATTTCATCTTCCACGTCAATCTGTTAATATTTTGATCCAAATAAGACAAAAGACTACCATTGTTGACATATTGCATAACAATCGTGTACTCTTTTGTTTCTGGGTTTTGTGTCACTCCATAAATTCTAAGGAATGAATTTAAAAAACCATCTGTGCACTTGGCATGATTTCTGAACTATCAAATAAAAATAGTACAGAGTCAGATTAAATATCACTTTAATTAATACTACCAATAATTGCTTACCTCGGAAATAAATAATTCCGGCGTTTCATCGAAACTCTTAAACTGTTTGAGTACAACAGTTTTTGGCATATTCTCTTCTAAATAGTTTCTATATTTGGCAGTATAGATTGTTCCATAACCACCAGATCCGATCTCTTTGAGTTCGTAAAAGTCGCTATAGTGCATGTACTTAGCACGTTCATTATTTCGTATAAACCTGCCCAATAGTGCATGTATGTCATAGTAGAAAACTAAATGATATTCCCGAGTAGATGGTTCCCGAGTGATCCCAATTATCCAAATATTGTCGGGTGTTAATATCTCAGGGTATTCCTTAGTCAGCTATTTGAGTAAACAGAATACAATAATCTGCTTGATACACACGTTAACAATATTATTTGCATTTTACACGTGAAATAATTTACCTGATAAAATTGATCATCCCCTTCGTCAACTATCTTTTTGAGTGTCACACATGTCAATTCATTTGTTGTCAGTTCCAAACATTCTGCTATATGTGTGCATCCATGGTGTAATGATGTCATTTCTCGTACGTCTGTAAATAGGGAATACTCTATCCATTGCATATAAGCATCATCTTTGCTACTCGTATTCTTCCATGATTCCATAATAAATGAATCCAGAGATTTGTTGCCAGTAGTCCAATCGACAGCTCTTGGTGCTTTACACCAATAACAGAATATATTTATCTTAGGTTCTAACCAAAATGTGCATGCCAGACATAGTCCATCATCAACTTTCATGAGACAATACTCTCTTCCCCATTTATCATATGTGAATCCGATAGTAACCCAAACATCCGTGGCAAGAATATCTGGATGCTCACCACATAACTAGTGGAAATGATACATGATAATAAGTCAATAATTATTTAAACTATTCAATAAACATGACGCATAAGTA